TCCATTGCAGTAATCCTGCTGAACTTTTACTTTACCCAGTTCTCCTGCTAAGCCTTGACAAGCTCCTCTTTTTTGTTCGTTTGTGTACTAGGCTGTGAACCAGTTCTAAGATGTCAGTGTTTATAATACTGTTCAGTTGTTGTAAAGAGGAAGTAAGCAGTGTAAGCTTCAACTGGCAACTCACGATTGCTCAAGAAATGAAAGCACTGAATACGATATCAGGTGTAGTCACCCTTAGTCTTCTTCCAACCCAACCTTACTTCGGTTAACACCTTGCGTCAGGATACGCGGTGACCTTTGCATACCCAACACATTTCGGAGCCACCTCAGTATTTGGAGGTTCATAATCCCAACAAATAACTTGTTTCCTCCGCCTAGTACTATGCGCTTAACCTTGACACCGCTCACATGGTGATCCCATGACATTCAAGCAGTGTGACGAAAACACATCGCAAAAACCTGTAATCCCTTTGTATGTTCCACTTTCAAAGACTGTCAGACAGTTGTCTATCATACTTACCTTTCTAGTTACAGTCGAATGTCTCATCGGTGCCTAGAATGGCGTACGTTGACAAATTTCAAACAGGGATTGTGTATTGGAGCTAAGATTTGTCAGCAACCACCACCTTGGGGGTGGTACAACTTTGTAAGAGAAGCGACCAACAAGTCGCCCCACTTGGGTCTCTATTCTGAAACCAAGAATCGGTGCAGACCACTTTCAGAGCACCATCTTGCAGTTGACAGGTGTGAAAATGCATGCCGAACACTCATTTTTCCTCAAGGTGTCACCTTAAAGTGCTATTCAGTTTGGTTAGTCTGAATCAGTCATTTGTCTTCTAGGAAGTCACTTTCGAAGAATTCAGGGGTAACTATAGGTGTGTAAATGCACATCTTTATAAATGGACATTTTTGGGAGGCGTCTGGTTGTCGTCATTTAAAATGCAACTCCCTATAGGCCTTCATACTGCTGTATGACATCGAATAAAGAGTCTTGGTTAGCATTAATTACTTCCTCGGTACTTCTACCACATTCAGATACTCACAACACTTGTCGGTTGACAGATTCGAATACCGCCTTCGGCAAGTGTGAGGCACCGATAACTATGTTCGTTTCAAAACTTGTGGAATGTTGATCTGATTGATGTTACTTCGTACAGGTTTGAAAACTATCTGGTTTCCTTCACTTTTTTTGTCCTATAACTCCACTTAGGCATGGAATGACTCTAGACCTTATGATCTTACGCTATGTTAGTCAAACTAGTCCTTCATGGTGTTCCAACAACTACTCACTCAGCTTCTGCTTAAATAATCGCTTTTCGTTTACGTCATCGAGGTGGGTTCAGGAAAGTGTTGTGCATCGTCAGAGATCAGATAAATGTTTCAGAAAGAGCGATGGACCTCTGTCAGTTTTCGCAGGATTAGGTGATAGTGATTTAATCTGTTTGTGTTCACCATTGTAAAGTGGCTAGTCACTAGGTGACGCCAAGTCTTGTTTAGAGTTGTCATCTGTTGTCATAGTACAGTTGAAGCTAGTGGTCACTACTATCATCCTACTGGGTCAGGATTTTAGAGACCTTTCTGCTAAGTTTGACCTCCCTTCTTATGCAATAAAGTTGTATTGTACAGCAAATTCGTCTGCATATATTAACTTGCAGATGACTAGACATTTTTGATAGAAATGTTTTATTTCGAAATTCAGTGTGCTTTCGGATGGCAACCATATACAGATATTGGTATGTATAATGATCCTTTTGAGTTCTTAATAAATCAAGTCTTAGAGTACGATAGCAATTGTAGTTTGAGATTCAGTTGATGGATAAGTATTATACACAACAAATTAGCGTTTTAACCACATATTCAAGGACATGACAGCTTGTCATCTTATCTGTAGATATCCGAAAGATGAGATGTGTTGACTCAACATTTTGACTAGGTGAGGCTAACTGTGTAACAACGTCGTAGTTTTTGATGCGTTTCAGAAACAAAGCATTCATTGAGTAGTTCGTATCTAAGCTTGGACTGTGATTTAGAAGATGAAAATTTTCACTGTATAGAACGAAATCACTACCACCACTAACAGAAATACGAAAAGTTGAGAATACTTTGGAAGTTTGTAGGCGGAAGAGTTAGAAATTTAGGTCTAAACGAAAGTAAAAGATAATAATTGGCATTAGGGACTCGAGTTTCGATCGAGACAGAGTCATGAACGTTTTACTGTTTCCCATATTACAAAAGGTTACATCTCCAGTTGACTAAAACTCTTTTGGATGAGAAACGCTGTTTTGACGTTTGCATTTTTTTTACCCCATCTTTCAACACTTAGAAGACCAAATCATCGGGGTGCTGATGTAGACCTCATTATCAGGTACATAACTTTTCTTTCAAACTTGAAATTATTCTGCAACATTTATATTGTGAGATCTAATTTTGTCTACACTTTTTAACTGAACCTCTTAGTATAATATAGGAGTAAAACTTGGGCACTGTGGTAGATTTTAGTTCAATTTTATTCTGTTCAATAGAAATATCACACAGTGGAACAGTATCATTCACTGGATAACGTTTCGGACATAATTTATTGTCCATATTTATATCATCAATCCATGTCCATATTCATCTTGGTATAATGAGAACTCAAGAGAGCTAGTATGGGTCTGTGAATCGTAGCGACAGACAACTTTAATCACCACGACAAGATGGCAGTTTCTGTAAGCAAATATTTGTGTGATAATACAACACTAAGTACCCATATGAGTAACGAGTTTCATCAATGTTATTAGGTGGACCTAAACACTAGGCGATCTTTTACTCGCTTAGGGATGAAGCTGTCAATAGCCTTCTTGCATGCTTTACTTATGATATTTGAGGTAAATATCTATAGAGTTCTACTCTGGAGATAAGAAGATGAGCTTAAGTGAAACTAACCTTCAAAGTCGCATCACAGTTTTCGTTCGCTGGTCTAAATATTCATCAGAAATAACTGGGTTGTATGATAAAAGTGCAAATAATGGAAGACTACTCATTAGTCAGTGGCTTTTGACCTCAGTCAGTTAGTATGAACGTGGAACTTGACGTTATTGCCTCACTATCGGAGTTACCATACTCATATCAGCACATAAAGACAGGAGATACCAATATGAAAGAGAAGTAAGTAAGAACTTAATACAGGTGGTAGGAAGTCAAAAAAAGAGAACAAGTAGGAATAAAACAATGGTGGAATTCGGTATGAAGACTAAGATGAGGTAATATGTAGGTGCACCTGCACCACTGAGATCGACTCTGAGCCACATTACCCACAACCTGCAATTACTGATTCCAAACTTTTCATCTCAGGATAACTAGATGTCCAGGTCACTTGAGTCTGACTAATTGATGAAGTAATGTAAAGAAACAATGGGGCCATAAGGGAATTACTACCCTTTTGATCTTGCTTGTTTTACTTTATACTTAATGCACCTTATTTGCTTGGTTTTTCCACTACTCATGTAGTGCAATATTTAGGAATGTTGTGTTTCAATGGCTACGCTTTTTTTTAGTTAACTTTGTCTTGTGTTAACAGGCTGGAAGGTTATATTATTTTGTTTGTTCCTTATTGTTCAAAAACAGAATTACATGCAGTATGCCTTACAGAAATTAGCTGAAGAGGAACTAGAGCTATACGATATTTGGAAACTCAACCGGAATTCAATTCTGTCCCTAAGTTGATGAAAGTTTGCCTTAAAACTTTTGTGGTGGATTATATGGTAGGTTTTGGTTAGTTGTTGACATTTATTTGCATCTTTCATGTTAGACATCTTTCATAATGCAGTAACAAGACTTAGTGGGCTGGAATGAAAATTTATTCTTTTATCATTGTTATTACTGCCATTGGTGGTTCACACGAAAGATAGTAAATGCATTGTGAAGATATAGGAGAAGGATATTCAGATAAAGCAACAATCACAACAAAGAAATAGCCAGAGAAATCTAATCAGTTGGTCACTTTAACTTGTATCTAAGGCTTTCTCAGATAATTGGATTCGTCATTGGGTAAAAATATCTTTAATACGAAGGTATATACCATCAAATTGTAGCTATGCTACCAATGCAGAAATAGTCAAGCGTAAGAGGTCGCCCAGCATAATTAGCCCATAGTTATTGAATTTCCCATGTTTGGAGCAGAATTGTAGGCACTAAAAAATACATTTGATCATATGCAGTCAAACAAACTTTAATGACTGAAAGATGGTGTATTTTTCCGACTCGTTGCACGAATATTTAACTCCTTTACATTCATCCACATGGATGCACAGTGGTTGACACACACACACAAACTTATCAGTTATTGGTAACGACTCAGTGCCCTAAGTAAATGAGAGGACTGGTTCCTGTCAATCTCGTAGATTATTTTACATTCGTATCCTGCAAATTATCTGCCATAGCTTTAATGCTGATTGTAATTTTTATAAATGCAGTTTGTGCGTCCTATTCGTTACGTTGCGGTCAGGTTATATTACTCCTAGTCGACAAGTCGTTCGTTCGACAACTCCCTTTGTTCAAAAGTTTCCCAAGAGTGTCAGTCATTATGTGCATGAACATGGCGTTACTGCGTAGCAGTTGAAGTTACCACACCATACCAGAACATCAAAGCAAGTGACAGAGAAACAGGAAACAAACCAATCAAAAGTAGCAATAACTCGTGGTAAGAAAGGAAGAAGGGACAAAACAAAGGTGAAAATTCTGCATAAAGACTAAGATGAAAGAAGTGTGTAGATACATCTGCTCCACTAAGATCGATTCTGAGTCTTATCGCTTAAAGTCTGACTACCGATTTCGGTTGTCACATGGACTTCAGTCGAGTAGTCTCAATTAGTCTATACATTTCAGACCAACAATCAGAAGCATCATGAGCTGATGACATGTTTTAATCTAGCTACTCTTAACCGCTTTTCAGCCTAAAATACTTCAAGTGACATTGGGTGGTGGAGTAGAAGGTAGCTAGGTATGCGTAGCGCGTGTCCCAGTCATTTGAGTTTATAAAGGTTTACCATCTCATCAACCGATTTACCTCTTTTGCTGAGTGCTGTAGCTTTGACTTCTGCATTACCGACGTGATGTTTCCATGAAATAAAACTAATGCTGCTGAGGCAGTGGTGGTCTAACGCGTGAGGTGTTTGAATGTCATCTACCCTTATTGGCCATGTTTCGCAGTCATAGAGCAGGATAAGATGAACTACTGTGCGATACAGGTGATCATAAGCTTACCATGGGCTCTAAAATGTCCACGAATGTTCCAGAATAAATCGTTCAACAGCGTGATTTGCTTACTTGTCATCCGTTTTATTGAGAGACACTGTCATAAGATTTTCTATCGACATAGTTGAGTGCCGCCTTCAGGTCGAGAAATGCAGCTAGTGTCCCATAAGCACCGCACATTTTAATGGGTGAGGATGACGGACTTTTGTCCAGCGAAGCCTGTTGATCGACTTGACGGAGAGTACGAACCTTGAAAAAATCCAATATATTGTTTTTGAGCGCGATTTCAAGAGACTGTAAATTCTGTTTCAGGAACACAGATTGCTGTCAAAAGCTACAGAGCTAAAACGAAGTAAAGATGCAGAAACGTTGATCGTGAAACTTGAAGGAAGGTTAAAAGTTGAGAATGTTAAAGGTGGTCGGGCTTGCATATAACCATGATACGACGACCTACTCTGGTGGAACCCCTGTTTCTCTGCCATACCACGAAGGTCTGTTACATAGAGCGGTAAGACGAAAAGTAATGCGCAGACTAGGTGAAGACGCTGACAAAATCTGAGATGCTTGCTGTTTTCACTGCTGTTTAATTTCGTTGTAGATGTATTATTAGACATAAGCATATGTACGTTTGACTTGACAGTGATTGATCTACTCCGTGGAGTGTATGTAGCTTAGATGGAGTGTGGAGACGATATTGTCGTACTAAGTGAAGACGCTGACAAAATATGAGGTCTTGTGAATGCGTTAAGAGGTGATCTGAGTATTTTTGGTATGCGTTTTGCACCTGTGAAATGTGAGTTGCTGCTTCAGGACTGGTTTGGATTGACTTCGAGTTCAAGGATAGGTAGTGAAGTTTTGGAGTGTGTTGGCCACTTTGCTTAGCTGGAGGGTTACATCAGCCTAAATGGGATGTTTGTTGACGGGAGCTGAGTACGAGGATATAAAAGGTCTGTTGACACTTTCAAGCCTTCGTCGTGTGTGTGGCCGGCTGTCGGGAAATCATACTATCTGTAAGAGTGTTTGTATGGTGGACTGGAGTCTGCTCGGTCCTGTTATACGTCTGTGAGACGTGGTCGCTGGAAGTAGAAGGAAGATAGAAAGAGGTTAGAAGTTTTCAACCATTATGTGTCTCCTTAGTGTTGTTCGTGTTTGGAGGAATCACCGTGTGAGCAATGGTTGGTGTTGGATGAGGATACTATCCAGGGAAGGTGAGTCGGTCGATGAGGTTGTTTTAGCATGTAGTGACTGAGATGACTTGGACATGTGTTGCATATATCGAGACACCTCGCCTACTTCGACATGCAGTGCTGAGAGGATTTTGATTAGGTTGGAAGAAGTTTCGGGTTGATGAGACGAAGACGTGACAGCAGTGTATGAAGTTTCTGACTGTTGTTGTTAGCCTTGTGTGAGGTGTAAACTGTGTGGTTGGAGAGCCTTGATGAAAGTCGGTTACAATGGTGCATACATATTGACTCCTTGACGTTTCCTAGAGCTTGAATGTTCTCCTCGAATTCTTTTTCCTCTGGTTCACTTTCGTGTCGCCTTCCTATGCAGTTATTTTTTGCTGGGTACTGTGAAGTTTGGCAGCTTGAGTCGATGCACTTGTGTGTGTGGTTCTACGCTGATTTTACTGTTTATCTGCCTCTGAAGGCAACGCTAAGAGCTACTAAGAAAGCCTATTAGATGTCTTTATTTTATTAAAAACTACATTTTCTCTCAAAATACAGTAAAAGTAATTGGTTATTTTAGTAGTGTTATACATTTAGTTCCCTTAACAAATTTGAACATTGCAAGAACAAAGACATTTACAAAATAAAGTGCGCTCATTTTGTTTCACTGCCTTCTATCATCTGCAAACAGCCTACAATTAAAATGAAGTATTAGTAGTAATAGTGGCATAAGATACTTTAAATATGTAGAAACCAATGGATATTTGAAATCCAGGATTAACAATAAGGTAGTGAGTCAAGGAAACACAGGATTAAGAGTTACAAATCTTTGTGAAAACCAGTGGCAATTCATATTTGATGAGATAGGAAGTTCTGGAACTTTGGAGTATATGGAATCGGGGTGGGGGTGGGTGACAACAAAAGAAAATCTCTGTTAAAGAAGGGATTGTTTAAGAGCTAATGGGTTACGTAACTACATGAAAATGAAAAATCGTTCAGTGAATAACTGTCAGTAAGTAATGAATGAAGAGATGACGCATTCAAAAAAGGAAGACGTTATAGATTTACATGCAAAAAATCACATACGGTTACATACAAGTAAAGAAAGGTTAATTATAGTTTCTTTCTGAGTACATAGGTCAGGTCGAAAATGTTCGATAGCGGGAGCTTTCACAAACCGTAATAAACATGGCGTTCTTTTTTTGTTGATTATCCTGCACGATTGAGAAACATCTATTTGATGCCCTGTTTCCATGAGGTGGCTGGGGATGGCGCTCTTAAATACTTTGCTACCATTCAGAAACAGATTTCTCAGAATATGCTCATAAAATCTAGTTGACGCCCTTTTTTCGGTCGGTTTTATGTACTTGCTTCCACCAGCACAAGTGAATTGATAAACACTTGGAGGTGATGTGGGATGGGTATTTGTCTACTTTCAACTGCGTTATTGAGCATACTGTATTGAGAACAGATCAGTCTGGCAGCAGGAAGGCTCCTTCTCAGTGCAGTTTTTGTCCCTCTGTCTATTCTTTCAGTGTTCTTATCAAGTTTGAATGCTAGACGAAAGAAAACAGGCTTCTTCTCAGCAGTTGGATGTTTTGGTCTCTCAACAAATTCTTTTCCATGCTTCATAGTGAATTTCTTCGGATATCCATTCTCTATAAGAGCCTTCTCAGTTATACGGAATTCTTCCTGTTTGTCTTTTCAGCACAGCGTTTTAATTCTAGTGAAAAGCGTCCTGACTAAACCACTCTTATAGCTGACGGGGCAGAAACTATTTTAGTGAAGGTACTGACCAATCCGCGTGCCTTTCCTGCTGATAGCTTTCTCAACTGTACCATCATATCTCCTCTTATACTTAGATCCAAAAAATTGGATCTGTCCTCATTTTCGTATTCCATTGTAAAATTGATATTTGGATCAGCTTGGTTGAAGGTGTTGAACAACTTTGACTTATGATTCATATTATCACAAGCAATGAAAGTATCATTGACATACCTACAGTAATATATAGTTTGCTTGATCGCAGAGTTCAGACTTGTTCGTTCAAGGTGAGCTATGAATATACCAGCTAGGATAGGTCTTAGTGGTGAAACTTATTGTTAATCCTGGATTTCAAATATCCATTGGTTTCTACATATTTAAAGTATCTTATGCCACTATTACTACTAATACTTCATTTAATTGTAGGCTGTTTGCAGATGATGGAAGGCCGTAAAATAAAATGAGCGCATTTATTTTGTAAATGTCTTTGTTCTTGCATTGTTCATATTTTAGTAGTTGTTAAAATGATATTTTGATTCTCTATCAGAAAGTAATAGTAGCGTGGCACTACCAAAGTTATATATTCACACGCCTTATTTGCAGGTATATCAGTTTATTTTGGTTGTAACACTATCGATCAGGGTTATCACTCAATCCAATCTAGTAGTCTACACTATCCTATAGATTTTAGACCAATTATCAGAAGCTTCATAGACAGAAGCCATATTTAATCTAACCGACCGTAGCCTTTTTTCGGCCTAATGATTCTCTGGGTTTCATTGAATGATGAGGGAGAAGGTGACTAGGCATGCGTTAACCGTGTCCTAGGTGTCTTAGTAGATGAAGGTTCACAGCCTTTTCAGTTGACCTATTTCTTCTACCTACCACTGTAGACCTGACTTTCACATGTGTGTATTGCATTCGTTTTGTATTCAGTATTCACATTATGAATGTTTAGTTCAGTTGGGAAGGCAGTCAACTTGTAGTGTTCGTTTTCTCTTTTATAATCCTCGTTTGTATGAAGATCTTGGATGGTCGTAAATTAGTCTTCCTCAAATAGTTAGGACTGATAATCCACCTAGCAGATGAAGCTGTGTTAGCATAATCACATTATTCTCATAGTTATATGCTCTTTACAACCACTACCTCAGTAAAGCAATATATGTCAGTAGTATAAAGTATTCATAGTTTCTTTTTCCTGCGAGAGATTCACTTGTTAGGTTTTCTTCAGCTTTCGCGAGTTATCACTTGATGATTATTTAATACATCTTTTCTTTTCAAACTAGATGACTGAGCAGTAGGTTTTTCAGCATACATTAAATACAACATAGTGTTACTGCAACCTCTTTATTATCAATCCTTTTTTTTTTACCAAGAGATTTCGTTTATAGTTTTTTATGGGGAACTGTTATAACCAAAATCATTCATATTTTCTTGGGATATACATTGCATCTGATCGATATTTCCTGATGTCAATTAATTTATTTCAGGGGATGACCGTTTACTCATATCATCTATGAATACTTATTCCTAAAACTAACATCTTAAGTGTTGGATAAAATTGCTTGGATCTAAAAAACGGTGATGATTTGCTTTCAATGACGCGTCATGACGTATCTTCGCCTATATTACAATGCATACAGAAAACTCTGGACATGAGTTTGACTGGGTAAATGTGAAAATCCTGGATAGAGGAAGTACAAAGAATACCAGAAAATTTTTAGAAGCCTGGTATTCAGGTCAGTCAACAATCAACACAGACATATTGACATTAACCCAATCTATCAACGAATAAGAAACAACAAGAAAGGTCAAAGTTCATGTCAACAGGACAGCCAATCGAAATAAATATGGAGACAATAACAAGACTTTGACAGAAACAGTCAGTCAAACACAAAGCCATCAGGACAAGCTACTAAACAACTTGTGGAGAAAACCCCATAGCTCACTTCTTTCTGAAGTTTTTGCTGAGGATACTGTCTAGAGTGATAAAGAAAGCTTCACAATTGAACCCTGCAGCTCCGAGAATACAACACCGAAATGAAGGCTTGAGTTTTAGAAAAGCCCTACGCGTCACATTTTGGGATTCACATTGTTTCTCGTTACTAATACTTCAATGATTTAGCAGCATGTCAGTTGTCCTATGTGCTTGTAACTATCCAGTATAGTGGAACATAAGCTTACAAATTGTCTCTACAGTTATCGAGAAAGTAATTGTTGAAAAAACATCGCTAATTTTCTCGTTTTGTCTGATTATCTTATAGTCTGCAAATTGTAGGCTATAGTTTTAGCTTCTTCTTCAAAGTGCCTTTCCTTATCAATCTATCTATATTCTATGAAGATTTATCGTTGAGCTTTCTCTTTTACCGTTTATCTCACTGTTTTTATCTCGTTAAGGTCACTCAATACACTCCAGACAGATTCAGAGAAGAGGATAAATTATCAATGTTCAAACAATGAGTAAATAATGTATTCTACCTTTCAACTAGAGATATCTAGTAACCCTAAGGTCTGAAAACAATGTATACTATTGCCATTTCCATTCCTCGCAAGTTCTTCCTACCACATGAATTGTTTTTAAAGTTTGTGTATGACATAGTTGCAGGAGGAACTCGCACCTTTAATGCATGATGTAAGCGTTTAAATTGAAATGTGTATCAGATGTAAATCTTTGATTCGTCTGGTTATCGCTGTGTAAGAAACCAGTTACCCCATATCACACTTGAAAGACTGGCACCGTATCATGTTATTGTTGAATTCAGGTATTGGTACTTGTGGATGGCTGTATTTGTTACACCAAAAGCCGAAGATTGTATGCTATTTCATAATAAACCTCCGTTATCGTACTACCAAGTAAATCACCTACTGTACCGTTTAAAAGAAATTCGATCATATGTTCTTCAACTACTTGTTAATTTAAAGTAGCATAAATTGCGCATCACAATAGTTCGTGTTTTCGTCTTAAATCTGTAGGATCACTTGCTTTCCGAGGTCCCAAGACTACTGCATGAAGAGGATACAAACCAGCTAAGATTATGCTACGAATTGATCAATCGAGTTCCTCAAGAGATTGATCCTTTATTGGTTCTTCTGGAAGAATATATTCGACAAACAGGTCTTGAGGATATACGAGTGAATGCGGAAACGATGCTCAAGGTTAGTTGCAATTTCTCCGTTTACTTCCTTTTGTTTTTTTTCCATCATTAAGTGGAGTACTTTTGAAAACCCATCGGTACTTGGATGTTTGGTTCTTCATGTTAGTTGATAAAATACAACAACCGCTTACAAACTGATGTATTACACTTTAACCTACATGGCTATCTCTGTTTGGATGTTTGAAAATACTACCCCACCGAACAAGAAAGGAATGAAAGTATGATTCTATAGTTTAGAATGCGGTGTCTAAACCATCTAGTCAAGTCTCCCGATCCAATGGTTACTAGATATCTGGTTGTAAAGTAGAACACATTATTTGCTCAGTTATCTGAATAATTATAATTTATCCTCTTTTCTGAATGTATCTGGAGTGTATTGAGTGTCACTACTACTTTGGTAATCCAGTAATATGTAACTGTAAATTTTAAAATGTGCTTCACTTGCTGTATCGTACTGAACACGCATATCAGTAATTTCACGTATGTACAGTAATAGTGATAAAGCGGATTACTGTTGGATTTTTCTTTTCGAATCCTAATGCTTTTTATTTTGGTTTATACTGTCGTGGTTTTCACATAACTTTCGAAAGGTTGATTTGGAAATAAAGTTACTAAACAATTTGTACACGTGAAAGCTGGTGAAACTGTCGTAGTTTAGTTTCTTTCATCTTTAGAACTAAAAGTACTCAACCTGTTCTAAAATTTATCATGTCATTCTATAAATTGATAGGTAGATTTAACTTTTCGGGTCTAAGAGCGTTCTAAAATTACACAACTTTGATCGCAGCTGCTACCTCAGTATAAGTAAAGCTGTGGCTAGTTGATCTAGATGGTCGACTTTAGGAAGTGGATCACAGGTTTAAAAACAATTCCACATTTTAAATGTTTTGGCAGCCAAATAGGTTTCATAGGACATTTGGTGTGGCTCCATTTCCCAGCACACAAACCTTCACGTGGTTCCTTAGTTGAATTTCATTTGTTCACCTTGACATGGTGGTCGAACTAACTATCATAGTGATCCACTTGAGCTATGTGAACTGTAACACTTGCTCCTGGAGCCGCTACCATCTCGGAATTGTCAGTTGGAGAACTTCGAAGTCAAAGGCAGTTAATTTCACAATCGAAATGCTAAAATGTAGTATGGTTTAAGACTGAAGTTCTGCTTCGAACTGTACTCAGCTATCAAGGCCTTAGAGTTGGGTACCATGAGTAATCAAGATCTGTAACTAATTTGGCATTACCGTATTGGAGTGAGAGATCAAAAAACTCTGATCCGCAAAATTATGATGAGGATGTGATTAAATCGTAATCAAAGCCCCTAGATCAATCGAGTGATCTGTACCATTTCAATTTCTTTTGAATTCACTCCAAGAAAGAATAATCTTCTGTGATGGTTTCCCTGAGGTGCTCTCCAATCTGCATATAGGAGCTTCCAGTATCCACCTGCTTTGCAAAATCGGTCAACAAGTCTCACTAGTCAAAATTATGACATCCTAGTTTATGAACGTATGGTTTATTTTTGGGACTGACGAACAGAACCCAAGTACGACTATTCATGTTATCCGGCTAATGTGATAAACGTGCTAGTTCCATTCTTGGAGTATCTTAAGAGTAGCTGTCTTGGTCTTGTGGGTCTAGGTATAAAATTAAGTTTTCAGAAAGAAAACCTACTACTCAAACAAATCCTGATCAACAACCAGTGCAAGAGCGGAATTTGAGCACTAGTTGAAGATCATTGCATTTCACTTCTTGATCAAAGATTTACCACACAATGGATATGTATCTACTCACTGAATGAAATTTCGAAAAAAAGTTTCCACTCGACATCATATCGCTGCTATCACACAACTTTGTGGTGTAGTCTTACAGTTCTACTACTTTTCATTCTTTTATTTCATTGGGAGTAGAATTTTTCTCAGGTTTGGAATTTTAGAATGATAAAAATAGTGTTATTGTAAGTGACAATAAGAATATTGAGAACAGCATGATGATGTAAGCAGGTGTTCAGACAGGCAAAGTAGGTTAGAGTGTGGAAAGGGACAATAAGGGTGCATAATAATAGAAAAAGAAGTTAGTGGATCGACAAATTTTCAATATTAACATAGTCGGGGTATGAAAGGAATGAAACAATAAAAAGTGAAGGAAATGGTTTTTAGAAACATTCACAGACAAGGTCATTCATATCTTCCCTGGTCAAGAGACAGATAAAGGCAGCACAGATTCCATGGACATTAGTGGGTAGTCCAAGGCTGAATCGATAACCGACTCACCATTAGTAGGTAATAATCCCTGGTTGTTTAGATTTATGGAAAATAAGGTGAAAAAGCTAATGGTTGGTGAAATCTGTCTTCTTCGATTGTCATATTTTTAACATTGGCGTACATACCGTTGGCAGATACTAGCTTCATTTCTTAACTTAAGGTAGTATTCAACTCCGTTGATCGAGTTCTATGGTGATTTATTTCACGGACGGTGGGTGCCCTGGTAATCATATCAGTTTTCTAATGACTGCATACTTGAACACCTCGAACATTTGAGCTTGCTTCCAGCTATTCGTGGAGGTGTCTGCATCGAGTGATATCTATAAGAATATCTCCTCCTTCCAGGCTTATGTAACTTTGTCATACGTGTGCTTATGAAGGTCTTTCTGTCCACGAAGTGTGTTTAGCTGTTGTTTCAAGTAGTCCTATTGTTTCTACACCTTGTTATATGTGCTTTGTGATAACAGTTTTGTCTGTGCTTGGTTTATCGTTCGTACAGCTTCTGACGGCATGTTGGTTATCATCAGTGAAAGTTGGCGAAGTCGAATACTACGATCCTCTTTTTCGAATATTCAATTTCGAGCTACTAACAAATTTGTCATGTCAGTGGTTGGGTTGTATCAACCGCTTTTTTAATGGCAGCATTAAAAAATTAGATGTAATTTTCTATTCTGAGTGAGATTAAAGCTTTTGTTTTCTTACCATTCTGTTCTACAAGTAAGGTTGTGTTAATCGATGTACGATATTGTTGTCAGTGGTTATGATATCTTAGGTATCCCAACGACAAATATTCAAATTTTCAATGTGCTACGCTTCTAAATAAACAATAGCCAAGGCGTAGTGATGAATACTTGTCTGATTTCAACCACAAGTATTCAACTCAGCAAGGTGATTTAAAAAAACGAGTGACACATCTTTCGGTGAATAACGGTGACATCTAAAACAACCAGAATTATTTATGTCAGGAAATCTTTAAAACATGGCGATGGCTTAAAGCTACAAAATAATAATTTCTATACTTCTTTTTATCTCAATTAATCTACTGACTGATAATTACAGATTCTCAATAAGACGATCAGTTTGCAAATGTTTTACAAATTGCACAGTTCTTCAACTACCGAACTGTGATGTCAGCGGGGTTTTCTTTGGAAACCACCCACCCAAGTTCACTAAATGTGATCTCTCCCACCAGCGTTTAGATCACTGCGACCCAGCTATCAAAATCTACAGATCAGCGTGATTGCTTTTCAGCGACTTCGCAAATTTCCAATATTTTTGCTTTTTAGTTTCCTGTTGAAACAGATTGCTGTTAGTAAAAAAAATAGTATATACGAAAATATATTTCCAACTAACCTATGCTTTCAATTGGTGAAAGGTTCGGCTATTTGCTCAGGAATTCAACTTTCGAATAATGACTTTGAAATACTATCCCGCTTCGTCTACTTTGACCCAAGCAACTGCGATTATCATCAACCCTCACGCATTACATGTAGTTAAAAGTCCAGTACACAAACACCTGTACCTAATTGTTGGTCTTCAGACTTGAAGAGGTGAAGTGATTAATTCTTCACCCTTCACCCAGGTTATGGAACATAGTTATCCTGACGATGACCGACACTTGCTATGTTTTGTGGTCTGAAAGCGAGATTCGGCTCGCTGTGTGTGTGGCCGGCTGTCGGGAAATCATACTATCTGTAAGAGTGTTTGTATGGTGGACTGGAGTCTGCTCGGTCCTGTTATACGTCTGTGAGACGTGGTCGCTGAAGTAGAAGGAAGATAGAAAGAGGTTAGAAGTTTTCAACCATTATGTGTCTCCTTAGTGTTGTTCGTGTTTGAGGAATCACCGTGTGAGCAATGGTTGGTGTTGGATGAGGTATACTATCCAGGAAGGTGAGTCGGTCGATGAGGTTGTTTTAGCATGTAGTGACTGAGATGACTTGGACATGTGTTGCATATATCGAGACACCTCGCCTACTTCGACATGCAGTGCTGAGAGGATTTTGATTAGGTTGGAAGAAGTTTCGGGTTGATGAGACGAAGACGTGACAGCAGTGTATGAAGTTTCTGACTGTTGTTGTTAGCCTTGTGTGAGGTGTAAACTGTGTGGTTGGAGAGCCTTGATGAAAGTCGGTTACAATGGTGCATACATATTGACTCCTTGACGTTTCCTAGAGCTTGAATGTTCTCCTCGAATTCTTTTTCCTCTGGTTCACTTTCGTGTCGCCTTCCTATGCAGTTATTTTTTGCTGGGTACTGTGAAGTTTGGCAGCTTGAATTGATCCATTTGTGTTGAAAGTTGTACGTTGTTATTCTTACCTGTCGTGAACTGTGAGGCTTATTGTACATTCATTTGACTGGAATATCTTGCTTTGTTTAATAAGTTATTGCCTTATTGAGTCGTTGATCATTTATCGGGGCGGATGAACTGTAAATCATATATGAACCTGTGAGATATTGGTTATTCAGGTATTTTTCTTTCATGGTTTGTGTCATGAGTTTGAAAATTTTTCGTCCATTTCGTGGATTTTCAGTTACGTGAAAGATTGAAGTTCATATTAACAGCGAAAGGAAACCACGTGATCCAAATCAAAAGGTTTCTTTATATCTTGAGCATTATAGGAAACATTATTTCACGCGTATGATTGTGCCAGTGTTGCATAGGCTTATCACTCAATAACTTGTTCATTTTTTTTCGATTCACTTCGTATATTTTGAAACCGTCAGGAATTATCGGGTTACAGTTGATAACCTGCTAATTGTACGTGTATACTTACTTGTATTACTTGCGCTGGTTATTTGAAATTAGTCCGTTGTAACACTTTTCTAATGAATTATGATGGAATGTTCATATTTTTAGAAGTTAATTGATCATAGTTCTGGCATTTTGAGTCGTCAGAGTTTCATTTTTAAACTGCTAAATTGAACTATTGATCACTTAAAAATCTTTTTGACTAAAAGTTTTTTCTATTTTGTTGAAACTATTCTTTTATCTGTTATCTATTGTTGTTGAAAGTCAATCAGCGTAGACGTAATTCTTTATCGTTTAAATGTCAGGATAAAATGTCATTTCTTGTTAACGAAGGTTTCTAAATGTATGAATAATAATCGTCTAAGATAGAAACTTAGGAATTATGAAGCGACCTTAAATTTTTTTGCTATTGTGCTAAGTTAAGGTATTTGTGATAATACAGTTTCTCTGCCGTACTTGATAGATCTAATTCTTTCTACTTAATTGAACATATTCTGAATCAGATTACACTGTGGAGTCTTAAGCCACAACCGATAGTGAGCATCCATGCTGTAGATTAAAGTATGGACCATAGAAATTTATATGCGTTTTGTTATACGACAGTTGTATCGTAAGGTAAAGGCATATGCTGTAAGTTAGTGAAGATGATCAACATTATCGATGAAAGAGTGAAGAATTCATTAGGCAAGGAAGGGAACCGTCACCACAATTCTAGATGACATTGGCCCCAATGTTTTGCGATGACCGTAAATTCCGGAATTGTTTGTTGTTGGATAATTATTATCCGAGAGGTCTAATGTGTGCGAGATCCGATACTCTCGAGATCCGTAGGCTACTTGAGTGGTATTGTATTCGAATAGCGTGAACTTCAAACTTGTGTATGTTTCTGTTGACTGGACCAGAAAATGTACATGGTCTAACAAAGTCCCGCGTTGCACCGGAGAATGGTGACCTACTTCTCGACAAAGAGGACGTGTATGCTTGAGTATGTCACTTTATATCTGTGGTCTATTTGTGCCTTTCATTTGCTTTCCATTTAAAATTTGTCCAAGGTGAACCGAGTTTTCTACGACACAAGACAAATCAGTTGTCCACCTCATCGTCGTTAGAAAAAAGCGATGGACTTCATTTCCTGGGTAATGTCGCTGTTTGTGAATATTAGAATCACGTCCAATTAATTTACTTGGTCGAACCCAATACCATGAGGATGGTGCTTAACGTAGAAAGCTAAATCACTTTTGATTGAACTGGCAGTGTTCGAATGATATCTTTTTGATACTCCACTGGTTGGACTTCAAAAACAATCGTCTGACTAGCTCTCTAATCTTAAATTGTGCTTGATTACCTTTTAACTGAATGATATTCATGTCTTGCTATTTTATCACTTTATTCAACCTAGTTTTCTGATTTTATTTTGGCCAGTTGGAGTTTGATAAAATTCAGCACCGAATGTGTGTTCGTCACTGCTGTGACAACTTGTTACAAAATATATAGCGTCTAAAATGGAATCGTGACACAACCAGTCATCCGTAGGCTTTCACTTTGAATTTATCTGCAGCCATTATTGCCCCATCCTATTCAGTAGTCTTTTCAATTAGAGTCTACAATTTGTTAGACATACTGGATATTATTTTGTTTTACTGCTTCTAGGATGCGGACAAATATGTCTGCCGACTCTTAAATCTTATGTCCGATTTTCACATATGGTTAAAGAAGCGTTTAACAATGATCCCCATTTTTAACCGCACGTGACAAAGCCTATCAGGATATTGTAAATAATACATCTGTCTTCGTAACTGAAATCCCAACATCTGTTCGGTAAGTTGGGAATTGAATAAATTTATTATTATTATTATTATTATTATTATGATTCTTATGATCATTATGATTACGATTGCGATTATTAAACAGTGTGAACATTTATTTTATCTGATCATTACAGTAGGCTTTTTCCTTTTACTATAAACCGGAATGATAAATGATGGGGACATGTTTGAGGAAAATTCACACAACTCAAGCGCTCCAATCAATACTTCAGCCATTCTTTTTAGATACTTTAGAGTGCCATTCTTAAGGTACGGGAGAGGGAGTTTTATTGTTTCCTGGTCACTACTCATTTCTTTCCTACTCTCCTTTTTTGTCCTTGCTAATTACCGATGACCGTCGTTAAAATAGTTATTAGTCAACTTGCATTTCGTTTGAAGTAACTCACGTGATTCACCTTGAACAACGCTCCTGAATTGCTTATTCATCAGTGTTTGTTACTGTTCCTGAATTTTACTACTGATTCCAGTAGTGTTTTGGACAGAATTTCAGCCTTCTATTGATTTTTTTATAGCGATAACTGATACAGAAATGATTTATTCAGATTAACCCCATGGTTCCCAACCAACAACGGCATCAGCAACAAGCACCAATCACCACTAATGGGAGAAACCTAAACGAAGTAGTCTGTTTCACCAACCAGCCTACCTAGGCAGCATCGTTTCAACTACAAGCGGCACATGCACTGATGAGGACGTCAAAGCCAGAAGCGGAAAGACAGCAAGACAGGCTTTCATTAACCTGAAATCAGTGGGGAGATCTACTGCACCCAGCACAAAGAACAAGATCCGGATTTTCAACATCAATTCAGTCAAGTCAGTGCTTCTATATGGTTCAGAAACTTAGCGTGTCACGAAAAGCACTCCCAAAAAACTACAGACATTCATCAACAGCTGACGCCTACACTCACTCGATACTGAAGATGGAGATCAGATGGCTTACCAGAATAATAAGAATAAGCAACAAGGAACTCTGACCTGGAAATGAACCAACCACGAACATATTATCCAACAAATATGCAGACGAAAGTGGAGATGGATTGGGCATACACTGAGAAGGCCGACTGGGGACATCACGCGCCAGGCTAGACCCTCGAGTGGGACCGACATAGGAAACGACGAGTTGGGCGTCCGAGGTGAGGGTGACATGAAGGAGATCATGTGAGGAAGAAATGAAAGCTTGTGGGCAGCCGTGGTGCCAGGTCCAAAGGACTGCAGAGAACAGAGTGAAATGGAGGCGTGTTACTGAAGCCCTATGTTCCACCAGGAACCCAAGGGGAAAATAATTTTAATAAACCGCATGGTTAACATGAGTTCGAAGTTTAATGCCTTCTGTTTCTGCTAAACATTGGCTCTGATCAGGTGGTAAATAGAAAACATTTACATCAATCGTTGCCTCTGCTCTGTCTGGTTCAGACTTGAAATAGCCTGCTTGCGCTTTCGAGTCTTTAATATCGATGAGCACATCTGTATCTTGTATTTTAAAAGTGATTCAATAAATTTATGAAAAGCTGACTCTTCTAAGTCTTTAAGAACCATTCACATGGATGCTGCATCAGTTATTATCAACTGCGATTCAGTTAAGAAGCATGTATTCTGCCCTCGAATCTAATTCTATCCGTACACATTTAATCTCGTAGGTACTTACCATTGAAACCTTGTCTACCATTTGTCGGCTAAATTAGGTTAGCTGACCTTGTATTTATTACATTTTGAATTCATGAAAGGTGTCTACAGTCGGGATGTTACTTTAGTGAGAGCTACTGTTCGTTTTGTGAAAGGAGAGCACTGATAGACACAGCATGGTGTTGTGCACATGGTACTACGTATAGTAGGTCAACCTTCGATCAGAATGAGTAAACAACATCTCTAGAAATGCTTTCCATTTCGGAAAAACCTGACTATCATTCAATTTTCATAGTATTAAATATAGCCCATCATTCCTAAGTTACACTCGAATCTGAGCTATCTATAGGGCTTTTAGCCTCGTCGTTTACAGACACATTTTCGTTTTTTAGCTAGGCATCAGTTAACAAGTGTCTGTTAGTGGTGTGTATTTGTTTCCAAGTCCTCGTATCAACATAGATTTTTAGAACAAATACTCAGAGATGCGAAAAGACGATTGGAGTGAAGAAAAAATGCCTCTTTTCAACGAAATCATTCTTTTAGCTGTATATTCTTGAATATTTGATGAAAATGATAGAGCTTTTCAGAGCAGTGTCCAGTCAAAGGTCAAAATAAGTTGCAAAAATTGCTTAGGTTAAGACATCTGAGCATAGTTGAGGCTTAGCTTTCCTTTGTCATGCAATTTATTTTAACCTTTGACTGAAATCAGTTTTCTTACTTGTACTTGTTTTAGGCGGGTGGTAAATTTGTGAAACTATGGCTTATTGGTCTAGGCACTCGACTTCCTACTGATGCGGTATGGTTTCAAACTATGCTCCACCTATAGAGGTTTTGGGAGTCGTGTAGTATAACTAGACCCCACACAAGCGATATAGCTCATTGCTTACAGCACGAACGTGCATATGATCACAGAGTTGGTTTCGATTTTCTTTTGGATTTCGAATGATGAAGGAAAAGTTTTGGCGTTGTACTGAAAGTTCAGTCGGCAATTACTAGTTCATTATTTTAGTAATGAAATATCCAGGTGCTCATCCAGATTCGAAAATAAAGCGACATACCGGTTATACAAACGTAAAATGTCGTTATGGAGTCTCACTTACTGTAGAAAAAGGTGCAAATTTTTTCCCTCTTGATCAAAGTCTCATGTCATTCAATCTTTCTTTCTTTTCTTTGCAGAAGTGGTATTTGTCGTATGGAATCTCGTTGTCCTGAGTTACTAGCGTCTTACTGTGATATGCTACTTCGTAAATCACCAACTAATCGCCGTTTAACTACAGACGAAATTGAACAAAAACTACGCAATGTTTTATTGGTGTTGAAATATGTCAACAGTAAAGATATTTTTATGCGGGTTCATAAATCCCATCTCACTCGACGGCTAATCTTGGAGACGTCAGCTGACAATGAAATGGAGGAGTTAATGGCTGAACGGTTACGTGTATGTTTACAATTGTCTTTTCAGTATCTCATTACTTTGCTGAAATATTTGACCATGCAACTCAGCCTTCTAATAGTCAGCGGTATCATATCAATCGAGGTGTTCCAGATGCCTTCATCGAATGTTATGTTGCGTCATACATCTGGGATATGAAAATATTACTTTCTCTATCAGGAGAGAGAGAGAGTTTGATATTGAGGTACTCGGACTGTGGTTAATCTACTGTAAGACTAAATGGTAGTCTCCTAACTTGATAGCCACATTGCTAAGTGATCGATAGAGTTCAGTCAACACTGAGGATTCTAGACAATATGAAATTGGTTACCCTCCAGTGACCAATCAGTCTGTCTAATTCAGTCCAACAAGAGTTTAATCGCGACCCGAATAGCTCGGTAGTAACGTGCCTGACTGCAACACTGGATGGTGCCAGTTCATACCTGACAGGCGACATCAGTTCCATTGACGTTGCAGATATGCCTTGCTGATGAGTGCCAAAAAGCTCGAAACCTATGTCAGACAGGTCTTCCTGCTGATTACCTCCAGCCAACTAACACTTGTTTATCCACTTAACAACTAATTCCGTGAACTTATTGATAGACTTTCCTCGCGTTTAAGATTCGGAAACGATATGGATTCCTTTCTAGTGATTGACTCTAGTGCTTGATCTGTCCCGGTGATGATTTGTTTTTGGCCTGAATATCTGTTTACTAGTGTATCTGTTATTGTAACCACTCAGAATTCAAACCTCTGTGAAACCACTATCTTTCGTACTGTCACGACTTCAAGAAACACATTATAATCTCTTGAATAATGGAAATGAAACATGCTTCCCATTCATTTCTCATCCTTGCAAATTAAATTAAATGTAACTGTTTAGCCTGGTACATCAGTAGTTATTGGTTCAGAAGTTATGGTTAATGCAATAAACAGGCTGATTTGTTTGTTAGAGTGATTAAGAAACCCGTCGTTTGATAAGGAGACAATATCGTGGATGGAAATCACACCTAAAAAAGAAGGATAATAAGTGTCTACTGATAATACTTGGATGAATAAGTGAAGCGGGGTCTCTGGCCTTCTTTGGAATTCAGCGAGTGATTGACCACTGTTTTATTCTACTATAGTGGTTCTCAGTAATACCTGATGACTAATGTTATTGTAGTTAAAATTAGTATTCTTATGGTCTTTGTGACGAGTCTTTCGGCTTTCAAAATAATGTACCTGGTTTCATTAGTCCGGATTTTCGACTTTCATCATCTCATATTTTTATATTACATAAACGTTGTGTATGTAATCGTGATTTCAGATATCTTTGTTACTTTGATAGGAGTTCACTGATAATGGCTCATATCTTTGTGGGTTTCGTTATTTGTGTTTCCCAAACAGCTTTGTGGAAGGTGATGACCCACATGAAAAGCTGACCGCAGTGTATTAGGTTATCATCTGAAAGTGAAATGATGCAGTTAGATAAAAATTAATGGATTTATATCCACAGAATATGAACATCATCCATTGTGTAGTGGCGAAGTCTACTATAAGGCTACTAAAACTTATCAATTGGTCGTTTCAGTTGGACCGTCTAATATGTAGCGCTTGTATCTGTTAACTTTTTTAAACTGTATTTTTTCATCTGTTGTTTTTTATTGTCTCCAGGAGGTCGGAATGCCCGCCGAACAAATCAATAAACTGGGTAGGATGTTTCAAGATATTAAAATATCACATGACCTCAATTCAGAATTCAAAGAAAAGTATAAACTTTCTTCATGCAGTTCTTCCTCTACTTCCTGTGTATCTAGCAGTTCTCCACCGTTAAATTTAGATATCATTATGATCAAAATACTAAGTGGTGGTGCTTGGCTTTTACGTCCTCAACCACAGTCATCTGTCTCATTGCCAGCTGAATTAGAAGATTTCCTCCCTCAGGTAAGTTTATGTTCTGGTTTGCATCAATTTATCTTTGTCACTGCCATCATTTAGGAGGTATGATTGATATTACGTTCCCTTGGAGATGAAACTAGTTGTTATAACCAGGATGAATATGCACAATATGGTCACGTAATACTGACTGTAAGAACGAAACATAGGCAGGAAAACTACTATTAAACTCATCTTTTTTATGGTTGACCTTTAGTTCACCTTTTAAAAATAAATTATAAAAGTGGAGTAAGTGATATACGAATGTAAAAGATATTTAATGAACTTTTTCTCCTACGTGTTCTAGTATTTAGTAGAACCATCTAGTGCACAATGCTAATATTAGGTGAAGAGACGTATCGAGTAATCAGGTTATGAATACTCAGTAATTGAGGTAGCTGAGGTTTGTGATGTGTTTGTCGGGCAAATGCTTACTTAAATACACTGTGACTGTAGGGCAAAAAGCCCAAATATACAGCTAATTCATTAATTGTCTTGATCGTACCGTGCACCAACTTGCAAAGCGTATGTGCTAGCAGTATCCAGCCTGACTGGTGAAGAACGAATGAAATAGCATCTTCTGATCTTTAAAAAAACAACTAGTTTGTGTAGTGTTTTCGTCGCCTTCTAAAATCTCGAATTTTTTTTAATGGTATATGATCAATCTATTTAAAAGTCTAAATCGTCATTGTATTTGCGAACGAAGTACGTACAATCTCCTTCTTTGCCATATCCGTCGTAAAGGATTAGTCATGTTATGTAGTTCCTTTGTGATACTTGTTATTTCATTTTCTTGTGCTGAATTACTTTGTATATTACATAGTTCTCCTTTTATTATCAAGAGTGTTTTGACCTTTGATCAGATATTATTTTGGAATAGTTTATCCTTTCTTTTATATGTTCACGAATGTACAACTAAAAGAAAGAGATTGTCGAAAAGCATAGCTTTTAATCTCTACAATCTTCTCTCTGTTTCTTATTATCAAATAAGTTTATTCTGATGTTTGAATATGTATGTCTTTTTGGTTTATGCTGCACATAGAAATGTAATTTTACGGTTAAGATCTTTGAGATTTCAACAGTTGTTGATAACTTCGAAGGATTCAGCTCAAAATTAGTCACAGTAATACACATAGGCCTGTTGTTTGACTCGTTACAATCAGTATACAATTATTATTCTACACGTCTATGTTTTGTGAATTAGAGTAAATTGCATTTTTCTCAGTCTTTCATTTCTGTTAGTAGCATTGTTTTCTTTCTCTCAGTTCGGCTCTTGTAAACTATCGGTAATCATATTGTTAACTTAATTACATAAGTGTAAAATTTTAGTTCATACTCATTTCATCTATCTCCACTTGAACGTATACCCTATTGTTGTACGTGGTTATTCACTTGTGTTTATTTTATTTTAATGATTTTCAGATTGAAGACTTTTATCGGAAGAAACATCAAGGCCGGAGTCTTCTATGGCAGCATCATCTCTCTCATGGTGTGCTGGCATATACAAGTGATCATGGCCGTTATGAATTTGAAGTAACAACTTATCAGATTGTAGTTCTGTATGCATGGAATGGAAGATATGATCAGCGCCTTCGTTTAGATTGTCTACTTACTGCTACTGGTCTACAGGATGTCGATCTTCGTCGAACTTTATGGGTATGTTCAATCGATTATTAAACATTATTGTAACGACTAAAATACAAGTAACCTGTTCAGAACTCAGCATATTGTCCAGAACAGGTTTTGACTCGACCAAAAGATTCCACTACGTTCTTTATGTATAGTGCACTAGGCGTCATTCGGTTTCACGTAGCCGAAATATCTCTCAAGGATAGAAGAACACGATTGACGTGGCTTTACCCACGCTTAAACACCTTCATTTCATCAACTGTTAGATAGCTAACATTCAGTGATTACCTTGGTGACATGGGTACACAGTAGTTATGTAGATCACATATCTTTAGAACCATGCCACACCACTGACGAACGTTCCTTAATCTGAATGGGATAACAGAATCACATCCGTCATATGCTCAGTGATGCTTATGTTGAATCGATAAGATCTTATAAGTTTGACATTTTTTGGAAGATCTTTTCAGCAAAGGTCAATAGAGTTTAAAAACTAAATTCTTAGACATGATCGATACGAAGCCAAGAATGAAAATCACAACCTCTTCGTATTCCGCATGAAGCCCAATCCGCAAGATTCTCGTTAAACCTAACGTGCTCTATTGGTTCGCGGATGTTTGGTTGGTCACAAATGTGCTGTACTGACTTTATTTATAATGTAACATGAAACAATCATAGACTGACTGACTGACAAAATCAGCGTAGAACCTCTCACACAGGTGCATCCACTCAACTTGCCATACTTCACAGTTATACACGAACAACAGGTGGATAGAAAAGGAGTGATATCAAAGTAAATAGAGTAGTGTGAGAGAACAAACAAGGTTAGTGCGAATAGTCAAGCTTTAGATGTCAAACAGTGAATACATCTGCGCCATATTCATCGATTTCAGCCATGTCACCAACAGTCTTCAACCACTGATTCCCTTCATCTTGTGAACTCCAATCAGGTGGTCTGCATCTCCCCACACGGCTCGGACTAACAGTGAGAGACTTCATCGACTGGTGCAAGATCTTAGTCTGGACACCCTGAATCCCCTTTCAACCTAGTCCAACTTCCTCTAGCATTGTACATCGAGGTAAGCGGTGGCTCGTTCGGCACACACACTACATGTCCAAGCCACATCAGTCGATGAAAGTTCACAGCCTCATCAATCGACTTGCCAATCTTCCCTAGTACCCTTTGCCAACATGGGAAATGCAAAAATAATCCCCAGATTCTTGATTTTAGTTTTAGTTTTCGTTGAAATCCTCAGGTATAACGGTTTAGCAACAAAAGAAAATACACCAATCACGTTCACCTCTGGTGAAAATCAAAGAGAACCAACGTCTATCAAACACTAAAGAATGAAATGCACTGGAGTTGCTAATAACTGGTAAAACGATTGTTCTACTGTCATCTTATAAGGGAAGCAAAGCCGTCATAAATAAGATATGAGATCTGCTGTTAAGGTAGAGTATTCACTCTTAATCTCAATACCGGATGAACGAAATATGATATTCCGCAACTTGCCTCTCTGACACAAAGAAGTAGACAGCACGGGCTGACGAGGTTTGCTTCAACTGGATGAGTATGGAAACAGGGGTACAACTTGGGGATTTATATACAGTGGCAAATGTAAAAACTAGCATACTATGGCGGAAGGGCAACCAATAGGAAAATAGTACCATTAAAGGAATTAAAAATAAGCGAAACACTTCCGATGGAAAATAGGAGCAAAAAGGATATCAAATTCCTGTCAGATAAATTTAATGAATTTAGATATGAAGAATTCGTTTATTGGAGGTCTAACGTTCTCATCACCTTCATTTTAAAAGTTCCCGTGTTCAACTTGAAAACACCGTCGTTCACGTCTTCTGTCTGATCACATTCGGGAAAGTAGCCCCTTTATTACTGGAGTAACTTTTTCCAAAATTGGTTTTTCGTTAGGCTTGGTTTTAATCAGCAGTTAATATGCGTCAAGTAGTATTTTCACGAAAAGCATGTTTGATGCTGGTTATTGTTCTGGTGCTGCGGTTGAATCTAGTTGACTGGTGTCGTATCCGTCTTCCTTCTCCGGCGGATACTTCGTGTATTACACTTTGACGCTTACTAATTGCCATCTCAGCTATTAATTTGCCGCATAGGGGTCGATAGTCGCTGCTAGATGCTGGTGTTCCTGCTTCAAAAGTCTTTTCGGTATTTTGTAATCGTCTTTCGAGAGTTTTTCTTGGAAGTCATTATTTCGTGGAGTATTATAAATCTATGTCCTATAAGTGCTTTGGAAAAGTCTGATGTTGGGTAGCACTTCATTTAGTATCGTTCTGTACACCAGTAGGTTCTGTTGGATATTGTTCATCAGTTTCACTTTTCCTCTCGCTTGAGTAGGCTCTTCTTAGTGTACGTGCGAAGCTTTCGGGTTGTCCGGTAGACTGTGGTTGATAGAGCGGTGAAATAATTTGATAGATTTCTTTATGGTCACTGTATTTGTTGAACTGTTGGGCCGTTTACTGAAGCTCATTGTCATATACGGTAGTGTCTGTTAAACTATGGCCGGCGAAAAAAGTTGGAAAGGTCTAAAGTATTTATATGATAGTAATTGGGTGTATTTACATTATGTCGGACTAATTCGTGTATGCACCTACTGAAACGAAGTAATATTTCTCGTTTATTGCTTGACCTAACCAAATCTCTATGCAAGTATGACCGTGGGTGATCTAGTCGTGGCTGTGAAAATGGTGAAATTCGTGATGGGGGTGCTTTGTAGCTTGCCAGCTCTGTGCACGGTATCTGACGAATTTAGATTCTCACTCTTAGGTGACTCTTGTTAAATTGGCGTGAAATTTGTTGTCGGAGTGTTTGTCGTATTACTAAGGGATATTAGAACTTGATACAATCATCTACTGAACACGAAGACTATCTCCGATAGAATGGTTTTTGAAAGTCACTGGATGGCAATTTGGTTGGCCACTGATGTAATCGCCGTTTTGAATGCTCAGAAACCCAGATGTTGATGTGAAGACAGCAATAGGGTGTTGGTGCTCTGTTAGAAGCGTATTCTTCAACCATAGGTAAGCATATGTAATCGGCGTATAGCAAAGACCAGAGCCCGAGCTTTTTTTTGTATTTGGCTACATTTTCGTCTTGTGGGTGCGAGTTTTCTAAATGCATACATAATTGCTTCTTCTACACTATTGGCGAACATATGCTGTATAACGGCCCCGAATGCGTATTTAGAAGCATCGGCAGTAACAACCATTAGCGGGTTGGAGTCATAATGGGTCATCAGGAGATCTAACAGTTTTTTTGGTTAGTTGGAATGCTGAGTAGTGACTGGTAATTCCCAGTAATGATCTAAACGGGAATGCTGTCTTTGGTTCTGTGGTATTGCATGGATACCTACACGGTCTGCATGACGACAAGAGGAATATATAACATTAAAAATATCTCCGAACTACTTTATAGAATGGAGAAATATTTGGCAATTTCATGTATTATCCGGAAATCATTACTTTCAATTTATGATGCGTCATTACCTCAAATTAGTGATCACGTCACTGTACCCTACATTAAGAATGTCTTAGAGAGTGCCAACCGGTTGCTTTTTCCACTCGGGTTTGGAGTAGTATTGAAACCAACGAAATCATCAGGAAACATGTGCAAGCCAAAAGATTCGTTGCCTAAGGAAGATAGATATAATTTAGAAGTCAGTTACAAAGATTGTCCACAAAACCACGTGGGTCAGTCTAGTCGTCAGATGGCTCAAAGAATTTACGAATACCAACTAGCAGTGAAGTGACATGACGCAGCCCCTTTGGTTTCGATACACCCAGACAGTCATGATCACAAATTCGACTGAAAGAGTGTGGAAATTCTCCGAAGAACAGGTTATTAAAATTATTTTCCCCTTGGGTTCCTGGTGGAACATAGGGCTTCAGTAACACGCCTCCATTTCACTCTGTTCTCTGCAGTCCTTTGGACCTGGCACCACGGCTGCCCACAAGCTTTCATTTCTTCCTCACATGATCTCCTTCATGTCACCCTCACCTCGGACGCCCAACTCGTCGTTCCTTATGTGGGTTCCACTCGAGGGTCTAGCCTGGCGCGTAATGTCCCCAGTCGGCCTTCTCAGTGTATGCCCAATCCATCTCCACTTTCGTCTGCATATTTGTTGGATAATATGTTCGTGGTTGGTTCATTTCCAGGTCAGAGTTCCTTGTTGCTTATTCTTATTATTCTGGTAAGCCATCTGATCTCCATCTTCAGTATCGAGTGAGTGTAGGCGTCAGCTGTTGATGAATGTCTGTAGTTTTTTGGGAGTGCTTTTCGTGACACGCTAAGTTTCTGAACCATATAGAAGCACTGACTTGACTGAATTGATGTTGAAAATCCGGATCTTGTTCTTTGTGCTGGGTGCAGTAGATCTCCCCACTGATTTCAGGTTAATGAAAGCCTGTCTTGCTGTCTTTCCGCTTCTGGCTTTGACGTCCTCATCAGTGCATGTGCCGCTTGTAGTTGAAACGATGCTGCCTAGGTAGGTTGGTTGGTGAAACAGACTACTTCCTTAAGATTTCTCCCGTTGATGGTGATTGATGCTTGTTGTTGGTTGGGTATCTTCATGACCTCCGTCTTCTCTACGTTCACTTGAAGTCCCTTCTTCTCTGCCTCCTCTGTCAACAGGTTAGAAAGCTGAAAAGAATTTACAGAAGCATTGGGATCCAATGAATAGTAATCAGTAGATAGGTGGATACAAATCCAGTCCACAATATACTCAGGAACAAAAAAAACCATCGAACAAACAAGTGCAAATTGACCAGAAAAGACAATAATGAAGGACAGTGGGGTAGTAAAAAGTAGCACGATTATACTCTCTCCCGGTGTGCCCAAATGAAATGTTAGGTCAGAGAGGTCAAGATGTGACAATATTCTCCTTCCCAATTCGTTGTTGGACTGCACATAGGATCAGTAAATGCGTTATCTAGCTACAAATCGTTTCCATCACTTCATTTAAATATGCTTTGGTTGTTTCTAAAGTTAGCGCTTTAAATGTCACCAGGTTTAGTTATGAAACGTCCACGTCAAAATATCAAAGCTCATAGAAAACTTAACTATCATCATCATCTTTATCATGAGTTACAAATCTTCTCCATCATTTTAGTTGATAATTGTACATCTCACTCACTTCACAGTATTCATAATGATGTCACCACATTGCATCACCGATCTCTTAGAAAATATAACTTATTGGTATTTGAAAATCCTACGGTGCGAGTGCATTTTTTCGTCAGTTATACCATCTTTTAGTTTCGTAATTCTGATTGTATTATAAAATAAGAAAAACTTCAGTGAGCGAATTTGTCTACGGTGATATCACCCTCTGCAACTGCACAGTTGCATTTAAATAACTAATTAAATGTGCATATTTATTGGCGAAAACGTCAGTTATCATTTTGACTGAGGTAGCTGTGATTCGGCAGACTTGTATCGATACTGGGTGATGATTGAAGGTAATATGAAAATTTTGGCCAGGACAGGATTTGAGCCAGAGACCATTGTGTTGTCGGCCAGGCCCTCTACTAATTGAGCCAGGAGATTCGATTGTTGACTAGATGCTTTATTTCACTTCAATCACGAAGGGTTTTCCCCGACTGCCATGTGAGTACGATCAAGCGATAGTAACGCGTTATGAATCCACACGGCAGTCGGAAAAACCCTTCGTGATTGAAGTGAAATAAAATATCTGGTCAGCAGTCGGATCTCCTAGCTCAGTTAGTAAAGTACCGGGTCAGTAACAGGGTGGTCGCTGGTCCAAATCCTACCGCGGCCCAAATTTTCACTGTACCTTCAATCATCATCCAGCATCAAAAATGTCAATATTTGTCAGTCCGTAATTCTTAGTACTTAGTGATCAGGAAAGTAATTTAGGAATGAAAGTTACGTGAGAAACATGAAAATATTTTAAAATGTGAATAAGTAAGTAGAAGTTGAAATCTAAAACTAAAGAGTTCATGGAAAACAAAGTGAGTAAAGAGTTGTCAACAAGGAAGTAAATATGGATTTGGTTACTGGACTAAAAAGTATTTACTTAGACATTCATGTTCCTTACGTAACTATTGGTTGATAAGTATTCACATTTTTACCAGTAAATATGCGACTGCACAGTTTCAGTGGATGATATCGCCGAAAATAAATTTGTCCATTGAGATCCTTTTTACTCGATGTTTCAGTAGGAATTGTATTTAATTTAGGTTTAGGTCTTTCTCTACACTTTCGTATGAAAGTCATTTGTCGCCTCAGTGCTTAGTGTTATTTCCACTTTCATACTAATTATTGCATTTGACTCATTTCTTATAATTATGTTGTATAAGTTTGTTTCGATATCGGTATCATATTTTACTTTTTTATCATTTACATCCACTCTTAGTCTTTATGTGAGCATCCTAAATTAGAACAGCAACTTGTCTGTTATTCACCTAAAGTGAGCTCTGAGAAACAGTTTACTGCCGAAACAGAATTTTGGCTCAATACGAAATTTGTAAATACGTAAGTTCATCTTGAATACACCTTATCGTTTGCAAAATTATTACTTTAAATTGTTCTTCAGTTTTTCGAAATAATATCTGGGGTTTGAAAGCTAATCAAAAGAACTTATCATCTGGATAAAGTTTGATTTTATTTCGCGATCATTGTGTTATTTATCTTCTGCTGGACTCATTAATTGTATGTTCAGGAGTATTCAGCTCATAGAAAAGTGACTTATTTTAAACCATCAGGTTCTAAAGATACATTTCTTCAAACAAGAGAATCGCATAGCAAGGTGAATGTCTGTTGGTTAATGATGATATGGTTTACTGTGACAAAAACAAGGTCGGGTCTACTTCCAGTTACCGATGTTGCCAGGAACAGAAATTAACCGAACAATGGCGTTTGGCGACCACTTACAGCGAGGAGCAGCACTCTTCAGAAATATAGCCGTTTTCAGCGTGATAGATTAGCAAACAGAAAACGTCGGTGGGTGTATGCAAAGACGAAGAGAAAATTCAGGTGATCGAATATCTTCAAGATTGAATGAAATAAAAGATATGGTTGCTTCCGTTCCACTGCTGTAGTTTTTATCCACCTCAATCACAGTCCTCCCACTTACCTAAAGATCCTACCGTCACTTATTTAACACAAACCAGTAGTCAAATAACGTAATGCATTAATGTTTGATCCTATTATGTACGCATATATTGATCAACTGTTCATTCTTCGACATCTAGCTGTGTCCTAACAAGGCTGAGTTGGAAAACAGGCCAAAAGCAGTTACTGTCCTAGTCTGACAATAGACGAATTATATGATCTGTATGATGCCTCAGAATTATACTTATTTAAACAAAAATGAGTGATAAAGTAAGTTTAGGAAAGTGTGAAATTTCGAAGGTGATAGTAAAACAGATCTTCGCCGTTGTATTCTGTTTTAAGCCATGTCAACAAGTCTCTGACTATTGATCCCTGCGGCCTCTATGATTCATACCAAATTGCTTGCATCTCACCAAACGGCTCAAACTGTTATTCAGAGAATGATAATCCAATATTAAAAAGCCGATCTTTGACTTAGTGTGTGACATTAGCATATATGTACTGTGTAGATTACCAAACACTGTCTGATAATTTCGTTAGACATTTTATTCAGACACGAATATACGTCTGTCAGATTGTAGGGGAAAACAGATTCTTTACATTCTTCAAGCTTATCACTTTATTGAAGGCAGTAGTGGGATGTGTCAACCCATCTTCACTTAATTGGGAAGTTGCATCAGCCCGAACGGGGCGGCTGATCACTAAAACTGTGGTTCAATGGTTTAGACAGATGACTACCAACCAGTAGGTCATGGGTTCGATCTCCGCTCCAGCTATCAAGGTCTGGGCAGGCAGGTAGTATCACTAGCCCTCACGCAATGTTTTATTCATTACCTACTACGCGGACGTGCAAAACGTGGCTGACTACGTTTCGTTTCGTTCACTTGCTGACGAAATCTCTGCTGGTATGCAGAAGGCCCGTTTGACATTTACCATCTTGCGTCATCGGTGGCGCCGATTAGCGAAATATCTGACTATCTATCTAATGACAAGTATAATGCTCTGCATTCCATTCTGTACTGTTGTACGACCGTGAGACATGGACGTTAAAAGTAGGAGACATGAAGCGATTGCAGGGTTTTGATCACAGATGTCTTTGAAGCATTGTTCGCGTTTGGTGGAATCACTGTGTAAGCAATGTTGAGATCAGGCGAGGAATACTACGGAAGATTGATGAGGTTGTGAACTTTCATCGACTGATGTGGCTTGGACATGTAGTGTGTGTGCCGAACGAGCCACCGCTTACCTCGATGTACAATGCTAGAGGAAGTTGGACTAGGTTGAAAGGGGATTCAGGGTGTCCAGACTAAGATCTTGCACCAGTCGATGAAGTCTCTCACTGTTAGTCCGAGCCGTGTGGGGAGATGCAGACCACCTGATTGGAGTTCACAAGATGAAGGGAATCAGTGGTTGAAGACTGTTGGTGACATGGCTGAAAATCGATGAATATGGCGCAGATGTATTCACTGTTTGACATCTAAAGCTTGACTATTCGCACTAACCTTGTTTGTTCTCTCACACTACTCTATTTACTTTGATATCACTCCTTTTCTATCCACCTGTTGTTCGTGTATAACTGTGAAGTATGGCAAGTTGAGTGGATGCACCTGTGTGAGAGGTTCTACGCTGATTTTGTCAGTCAGTCAGTCAGTCAGTGATAGCAGTATTTCTAGAAAGAATTCATCAACTGCAGGAAATTTGCTGAGTAGCTTTTATTTGACATTCAAACCTGTTTGATACCATTGTACTGCTTCTGCCACGTAAAGTATAGCTATCTACCTTGTCTTCAATTCTTAGAATAACGGTCAGTTGAGTGGATTCACTTCATTATTCAACTGAAAAATCATACATTGAAATATCTTTGAATCAAAGACATCCTATACACTGTTGACGTTATATTGTGCCCAATTCACTGTGCCTATCCAACTCAATATTGCTTGTCCAAAATCAACTCATATTCGACAATCAACATGTAAATAGCATGAAATATATTGATATTTTGCTATTGAATGTTTGTCATGTAGACCGAGTGATCTTGCCTGGCCATGCAGAAGCCAATGTGGTTAGGTGTTTGTAAATGCTTGTCGGTTAGAACTTACGAATAGGATGCAGATCACATTTATGTATCACTTATTCTTCACCAGAGTAATATCTGTATAATGACTTTCTTTTTGTCCTGTAATAAGTCAGGGGACTCACGCGTCACTCCATGTACATCATATATATATATATATATATATATATATATATATATATATATATATATATATATATATATATTATATGAAAGATCTATTTACATCACTAAACTGTGTATGCCTTCAAGCCTACTGGTCCGCTTTCTTCTATTTCAGATGAATACCATTTCACGTATGTTCATGATAATATAAAGTTATATCACTCAAGAATATCCTTCCTGATGCTGTTTAGTCTGAATGAACTACAAAAGTTAGGTTTATAGTTGGTGTTATCACCAACATCTGCAATTTATTTCAGCAAGATTGCTAGTTTCTTTGTCATCGATTTGACAGTCAGCTGTCGTTTAATGGTTATTAGTAGTCATTCACTTAACAAAATTTTTCTGTTCTATTGTATCGTTATTGTAGTTGCCTACTAGTTCACTAACATACCTAGCAGATACAAGTATTAAGAAATCGTGTTGCTGTACTTCCTCATAAGATTGCTAAGTTGGCAGCATTCGTTATATTTTCGTATTGAAGTAGTTTGTGTGACAACCTACTAATCAAGTAGTAGCTCAGATCCATTCCTCTGAAACACTAGGACACAGTTTCACCTAAGTGTAAGTGTACCGTAATTAAAAGCATTTATATCATGGTTTAATCAATGACATGTAATGCACCATAGTCATCTCAAGGATAAACCTAGTTTGAAAAAATGATCTTTAAGGTCATCAAAACATCATCAGAACTCTAATTCTTTTTTGATGAAGTCAAATTAAAAATCAAGTGTAGTTGTTAAGTAAACTGTCATATGCACTAAATACATCTATAACCAAAATTGCGACTACTAACCCTATCGACTACGGATATTTAATCCTAGCACGACTGGAAATCACAAAACAAATGCTCTGGACATTATACATATATTAGGTTAATGAGGCCTGACCGTCGTAGGAAAAACCAGCTGACAGCTTACAAAAATAAGGCGGCAATTCTAATAGATAGAATATCGACCGCACCTATTGTTGTTCAACATACTTTTTTCGCGAAAAACTACCTATATACTAAAGAGAAGTACAGAATAGTAATTAGATAACAGTTGGCTATGATTTCCTGCATGTTTAGTCTCATTATCGAACAAATGTATGCTCGCTCTCCATCGTTTAAACTCTTCATCTGGCGATTAAAAGACAACTGGTGATAGTGTTGCAAAAATACAAAAAGAAACTGTGTAACTGAAGAGACCAAAAGAAAACAGTGAAAACTGAGTTGCTACGCCTGCCAAGCCACCACCTATCTTGATGTGCCATGCTAGGGGAAGCTGAATTAGGTTAGGAGAGGGTTCAGGATGGCCAGACTGAGACGTGGCACTGATCTATGAGGTCCCTAACTGTTGACCTAAGCCGTGTGGGGAGATGTAGACTGCCTGGTTGAGGTTCCCGAGATGGAAGGAATCAGTGGTTGAGGTCTCTTAGTAGCATGGCTAAAAATTGGTTACAATGGCTCAGATGTATTCACTCCTTTGACATCTAATACATGAATATTCGCGCTAACCTTTATCCTCAGATTATTTGTGTATTACTGTGAAGTGTAGTGAATTGAGTGGATGCACTTGTGTGCGAGGTTGTACGTTGATTTTGTCAGTCAATCAGTCATCTGACGTAAAAGCTGCACGAAGTATACTACTGACTGCCACGAGTAGTAGTTATAGATCACTCAAGTCGACCAGCAGTGCTCGCTAGCCAAATTAAACTGATCTAAGCACCGGATAGCCTTTTCGCTCCTCCGAGGTCGGGTTCATCAGCGGTATATTCAGATAGATTTAGCCCAGCTAGTCAGTAGTATATTTCGTACAACTTTCATGCTCACAGTCTTAGCACCAAATGTAATTTCACGCAGACCACATTGTGTGCTGCGAATATTTTGCTTTCCGTCGGAATTTACGATGACATTTCTCACCGTGAACTGTGAGTAGCTGACTCACCGGAACAATATACAGAAAAGAGTTCAACGCGTTAAACTGCGAACTAGTATGAAAAGGAAAGCTACTTGAGGAAAATCATGAATAACAAGTAGGAGCGAAAAACTTTCGGCTGTTTGCCAATTCTATTAGTATATATGGTTAAAATTTATGTTCTGTCCATACCGTTTTAAGGTGCTAAGGATTTTAGATGATTAAAATGCTCCACATTATAATATCTGGCATAGGTATCCCAACAACACAAGTCTAGAGGGAGATCTCGAATTCGGGCCATGACGAAATCACTTAGCATCACAGCAACTTTTTATATCAGAAGCACAGTTCCACAAAAATACATAACACTTATTATAAAGTTCAGCTTGTGTGACTGAGTTGATGTAGCCTGTAACATCACAGTGATCTGCAAAATATCGTGCAACCTCTGTCGTCTGGAAATGCAACTGGTGGTGCGTATTGGGGTTAGCTGTAACTTGTGTTTCAGTCAGTTTGTTTGTAGTTTACGCGTATTTTTGAGCTACAACAATAAGAATTATTTTTCTAACTCAGTACGACGTATTATTTGTTTTCAGCACTTCAATAATCGGTCCTCTTTTCTATGTGGCTTTACGAATGTCATTACATGCAGAAGTGGAATTTTCAGTGATTTTCGCATCTGCACTTCTATGTCCAATGATTACGCTAGGTACTTGGCTATCTGATGCTTTGTTCTTTGCATTTTACCGTATAGACAAGTAAACATAGAACTCTGTATGATTATCAAAAGACTTTTCATGAACTGTTGTATTTCAAATAATGTAGAGAATGCATTTTAGCGAATCCACTGAGATTTCTCCAGATTATTAGGTACATCAATAGAATCATATTAATTGTTGCCTTGTGAATGTGTGACTTCACCACGTTTATGGCACAAAGACTTTTTAACGTTGGATGAATATCAGAGAATACGATGAACAAATTTTTGTATTTGGTGCAAGACAGTGCATTTCGTTTGGTTGTCATTAACATGTGATTTAATGATAGGTTGAATCAGATATAATTGTATCAATTCTGTTAGGCTTGAAAGCCTATATCTGAAGGGGGGAATATCCACTACCTATTAAGTTTCTAGTATGTAGTTGTCTGATGAGTAATCCTTTCTGCAAAACGTTGAATTTGAGCTTATTTGCTGGTATTCAGTCATAATTGCTTTGGAACCAATAAGTAAGCATTTTTAAAGCGGGACGCAGATTTCTAACAGGAAATCCAAATCGTCTGACGTGCTTGTGAACAGTAATGGTTGCTGCATTTTTTACGCATCCTGAGTCTCTGGCCCCTGCTGTGTGTGATGTAGTTTGAAGAAGTTATAAAACAGAAGACGTTCATAGTGTGATGGGTTTCAGGTTTTAGTCTGACTTGTCTTGCGCAATATCTTCATCCTGAATTCCTTTTCTGATGATTGGCGGCAAACTGTCGTTTCGTAATCTAAGACACTATCAAATTACTTGTGTGAGATGATGTTCATGTTCTGACAAAACTAATCGTATCTATTTCCCCTAAATCGAAAACAACAAAATAAAAAGTTCTTTTTTCTTATAACCCTTATTTCTTTTTAGAAAAATGGGAAAATCCAAAGTCGACGAAGAATTAATCTTATTGGTCGACTACAATTGACTCATGAGATAACTAATGAAGAGGAGAGCATGGCCATAGTTGAATTACGTCAACTGCGTGCTCAAGAAGGCATTATTAAAATTTTGAAAGCACGTAAACGCCTACATCATAATGAATTGTATCAAGAATTAGTGGATCTATTAAGATTTCAATTTGTCCCATCGAAAAGACTCATCAAAGAAGTCCTTGAATGGTTGATTGATAAACGGTATGTTCGACGAGACGATAATGATATGAATATATTTGTATATGTAACTTGATTGGAAATTATGTTGTTCAACTCTTTTTATTCGTCCTTCATTCAAATAAACAGATGACAGTTTTATAACTTATTGTAATTAGCGTATTCAAGCAAGAAAAATTATCACAACGAATAACCAGTGCTCTTTATGTACTGCGATCACTTCTCTTATTTACTGCCAGTATCTCATTATCAAAGTTAATTTACATTTTTTAATTGTTATGAAGTGTGTTTGTCAGTTGACTTTCCTTTTAACTAAAGTTTTTCTTATCACCATTTGTATATCTTTCATTTCGATATGCTATCATTTCTGCCTTTACTATTGTTGGTTCTTGTGTGATAAAAAGAAGTATCCAATGACAGATCGAAACCACAGGCTTTTTTGACTGTTACATTTTCAAGCTTTTTTGTCTATGCTCCCTATTTATCTTCTTAACAAGTCGCTATTTCTCTTGTACATTGCATGCAGTTCTATTGTTACTTGTTGTTGTTGTTGTTATTGTTAACTGTGTCCTCCTTCTCTCCCATTTGTTCAGTATCATGCTGTTTATCAAATTTTTTTCAGTTCGGTTTTACTTCTCTTTCGTACTTCATTACTACGCTACTTTTTAGACTTGAAAGTCTTGTTGGCTGACAAGTCATTACGCCTTATTCCTATTTATGAATCCTCTTACTGAGAAGATAGAAGGTCCCATTCTTTTACTTATCTTGCTTTCTTTCTCTTGACTTGTCACTTATCTTATCATTTTTAATTTTTATTTCTAGTAGCAAATAAATATTCCAACCAAATTTATTTAATTTCATCTACTTTTCCTGTTTAGTAGTGTAGTTTGTCCGTTCTCTTTCGACGTTAGCTTTTTGTTAAATATTTTATTCTCTGTTTCATACTTTTGTTTTTATCATTTCCCTACCACATATTGATGTAATATGTTGGATGTTTTTAAGAAAGAGCATGTATGTGTATATGAGTGGAAAAGATGAGAACAAAGCAATTATCATTCTTTTAATTCAGTTTCACGAGTACAGTTTGACGTATACGGTAAAGTATTCGTTAATTTTGTGCTCTTGTAACGAAACATTTAATATTGATAATGGGCTATACAAATTGGACTCTCCTCTAGTTTTTTTCTAGATCTCGACCTTTTATTTTGTATGCTATCGATGATGCATCCCTACGGAGGTAGATTTTTGTATCAGAGAGTCTAAGCTACATTCAGAAGTGTGATTTGTGCGATTATATTATTATTATTATTAGTCCCTTGGGTTCCTAGTGGAACATAGGGCTTCAGTAGCACGTCTCCATTTCATCCTGTTCTCTGAGATCTTTTGAACCTGGTCCCACGACAGCCCACAGCCTCTCATTTCCTCCTCGCACGACCTCCTCCATGTCACCCTCGGACGTCCAACTCGTCGCTTCCCATGGGGATTCCACTCGAGGGCCTGACGCGTGATGTCCTCAGTCGGCCTTCTCAGTGCATGGCCAATCCATCTCCACTTCCTCCTGCATATTTGTTGCGTGATAGGTTCTTGGTTGGTTCGTTCCCAGAGTTCCTTGTTGCTTATTTTTTCTGGCCATCTGATCTTCAGCAGCGAGCGTAAGCAGTTGTTGATGAATGTCTGTAGTTTATTGGAAATACCTTTCGTGACGCGCCAAGTCTCTGAGCCATACAAGAGCACTGACTTGACGTTGGTGTTGAAAATCCGTATCTTGTTCCAGATGCTGAGTGCAGAAGATCTCCACACTGGTTTCAGGCTAATGAAGGCCTGTCTTGCTTTTCCGATTCTGACTTTGACGTCCTCGTCCGTCCCGCCTGTAGTTGAAACAGTGCTTCCTAGATAAGTGAAGGAGGTTACTTCCTTTAAGTTTCTCCCGTTGACAGTGATTGGAGTTTGTTGTTGTTGTTGTTGATGGTGGTGGTGCGGTATCTTCATCACTTCTGTCTTCTCTATATTCACCTGAAGTCCCGTCTTAGCTGCCTCTTCTATCAACTTGTTAGTTTTTGCCTGCAGATCTTCAAGTTTATGTGACATTAGGCATAAGTCATCGGCGAAATCCAAGTCTTCTAGGTTCTTTTCCGTCGTCCAGTGTATCCCCCTCTTCTCGCTGCCTACTGTTTGCTGCATGATCCAGTCCACCACAATCAAGAATATCATGGGTGATAGTAGGCAGCAGCCTTGTTTCACTCCTGTCTTCACTTCAAAGGCATCACTGAGCTTCCCATTGTGGATTACTTGGCATGTGGCATCTTCATATAGTTGTTGAATGAGGCGGATAAAGGTTTGCGGTACTCCGTAGTATTGAAGCAGTTTCCAAATTACTTCTCGGTCGACGCTGTCAAAGGCCTTCTCAAAGTCGATGAAGTTGAGGTGGAGAGGTGATTGCCATTCTATGCTCTGTTCTATGATGGATTTGTGCGATAGATTTCGTTAAACTGGTACACAATCTTCGGTCTTGAAGATCTAATGTGTTGAAACTGAAACCTTAAAGCTCTGATTTAATGTTTGTAACACTCAGTCATCTTATCGTTTAGATAAGAAGCCTGCTCACAGTGTTACTTTATTGATAGTGAATAAATAGGTTTTAGTTGGTGGGATCTGTGTGTTACTTGCAGCGACATGAATACATCCCTCTAAGTGCGTCATCAAAGTCATACTAATTTCTGCCGTATTCATCAATCAATTTTTCCTTGGTTGGTTTCGATAGTTGAAGGGAGTGGCCGGTATTACGTTGGCGTAACGTTTTTTGTCCACTGCTAAGTAAAGCTGAGTCGGTTTACTTTTTTTACCATGTTATTGTCAAAATGTCTGTTTTAAAACGCTTATGTAGGTGATCAGCTGTATGCTAATTCATGAGGGTGAACTACCATTGGGTCCTACCAAGGCCGAGGGTACAGAGTGAAGTATAACCTATGTGGTGTATCATTTCGTGATAAGAAAATTGTATAATTCTTGAACATCTGTGTATATTGTTCTATTGTTGTCGTCTCTACCCTGGGTTACAACAAAAGTATATTTAAGCAGGTGTGAAATAAATTTATCCAGCTCTATTTCATTTACTTTCACTTTTAAAATAAACTCCCCAGTTGTATTAATCTTTGTGACTAGCATTGAAATCCAGGATGCGGGTTGCATCCCTTTTAGGATCCATCGGCTGAATCTTCCTGTATCTCAGTGAATGATGTTGTTCCCACTGTAACTCGAACCCAGTACCCAACGGTTCAAACACCAAAGCGTTATCCAGCGGGGCACTCTGTCCACCTCTTGGTCAATGTAGGCTGTGACTCACTGCTGTATGGAGATGACTTTCAACCAGTGGGTTACGGGTTCAATCCCCAACCCAACTGCTGTGGATTGGAGAACCAGGTAGTATTGTAGTGGGCGCTGCTGATAAGAATGGATATAAGTATTATATGTTGAGAGGGTGGCAGAAATCAGACAGTTACCAACAGTGGGTAAAGATTCTGCCCAGAGAAATGCAAGAGACAATGTGAGCTTATGAAGAGCAAATCAACAAAGAAGCAGAAGAGAAGTCGAACCCATTTGTGCAAATGACTGTCTTAGTGGAAAGTGTACAATATTTGATGATTATTGTTCAAGATGTCAACAATAAACATTCTTTCCTTAGTCTCAGTCTCATCGTTTCCTGCAGTATCACTAGCCCTCACACAATAGCTGTGACTCATTGTCCACTGCACATGCGTTCACGTTAGCAGTGGCAAATACAAGTATCCAACAACAACTGATACACTTCACAAGAAGTGGACTTCGTGCCCCAGTGATCTAGTGGATAACCTCTGACGTTTGAACCGATGGGTACTGGTTTCGAGTCTCAGTGGGACCAATACCACTCTCTGGGGTGCAGAAACACCCAACTGAAGATTCCCAAAGAGGGCGAAACTCACGTACTGGATTCCACAACTAGTCACCAAGATCGATAAAACATCATGAATATCCTGCAGTATGGAGGCATCCGTATAGGAGCTCATCTACCAACAGAGGTTGAGCAACTTGACCCTGTATAACAAGGGGAAGTTACAAGTATCAAACAAAAACTTTGCAGGCCTGAGGAGTGTGTCATTTTTCTGTGATTTATTAGCGCATAATTCTAAAGTCGTTTAGTGCTGCACTTCATATCATTCAACCATAAGTTCCAAATGTAGCCGCTTATCACCTAACTTTATTGTTTGTTAGTCTTTAGTGAGACTTGACACGATGTTCCTTAACATCAAAAACGGATCAAAGTAGAGCCGGTAACTAGCATCAGAAATATAATCTACTTGGTAAGCAAGTATAATTGAACTGGTGGCTTGTATTCAGGAGTAATTTAGTCTGTTTTTATACCATCATTGTTGCTTAGTTTTAGGTAGTGAGTTTATCGTGGTGCTCATATTGAATAGTATAAGGTTTGTAAAACAAGATTTCTTCGTCTGGCTCATCCTCATCACATAACTAAGATGCAACAGCAAAAATTTCCGTATATATTTTCTGTAGTTGTTTATTGTTCGAATACTGAGTTAAAATCTCTGAATGTGGTGTATCGTGGTGAATGATGGTTTAGAAGGGGAAGAAAAGAACGATGGAAATATACAGTATAATGAAGTTTTTAGAGATCTATAACACTGATTGGTTATTTTCTGGTTTTTCTCATCAAACTTGTGGGAGCAGACACAGGTGGAGCTTTGACATATATCAATAAGCTAGTCTGTGAAACACTTATATAAACCAAAGAATCATGTACATAACTTACAGAAAATGAATGAGCTAATCATCTTCCTTTCCATATGAACTAGTCGATGCCTAAATAACCCATGGTTATTGAGAAGCTTGTAAACATCAAACTTCTATTTTATTCACTTCAGCTTGAATTAAGGTAGCAGCTTGAGAACGCTTCCAATTGTATGAATATACACTGAAGTGAAGATGTAATTTGTTTGCCCAAAATCATTTTATTTCAAAGTAACATCAATCGGTGTTTTATATTTTTTTAATAAAAATCTTTGGATTACCCAGTCACTCAAA